AATGGTATATTAATTGTTAATTATTAATATCTATATATATATATATTTATATGCTCAGCTCAATCCAAATTCTTCCTTCCCCGGCACTCTCAACACCTCGTCCTAAGCACACGTCCGGGTGACGCTGAACGTTAGAGAATAAACTGAGCCTCGGCTTGATGCTCACGTTTTGAGAAATGGACGCATCATTGCCTAGCTTCATCGCATGAGCCCCGTGAGGGATTGCGAAGTAAAACCCATCGAGCTGCAACCCGCCTGAGACGTACTCCACTAAGCCTTGGATTTCCCGGTCCGAGGGTGAGTACTTTCCTTGGATAATTGTTTTCTTGAAGTCCTAATTTTTGGGTGCACGCTCAAACTTACCACTTTTTAAAAGTCTGGGCAAAGAGAAGGCAAAGAACTTGAAAATTCACTCAGCTGAGGGTATAAAACACCTAAAACCAAACTCTGATCTCTCATTTATTGGCGCAATAATTTTATGTTTAGCAAAAAAAAATTTATGTTTTTCAAATCCGGTGGATTTGCTTAGGTGTGGCACGTTGTACAAGAAGCTGAGGTATGTGAACCGGCTGGATTGATTCACCTGTTTCTGTCTACTCCATGAGGTGCATCTCCTAGGATAAAAACAAATTCCCCCCCCCCCCCTTCCACCCTTTCTTTTTGTTAATGTTTTTAGGCTTCTTTAGAATGAGGTGAATTTGGATTTTACTTCGTGAATATTGTAATTGTAAAAGAGAAATATGGTTTGAGATTTTGGTATAAATGTACATGAGGAAACGAAGTCCGAAAGGAGTTTGATAAAGAGAAGAAGACTTTTTGTATGATTTTTATTTGATTCTATTTTATATTATTTAAACAATTATTTTCTTAACTTTATCAAAAAAAATTTCAAAAGATAATAGAATATATTTTTTGTTTTTAATGTAAGCTTTCAAAAGAAAGTAATGATGAGAAGTCAAGAGAAGACCCAATACAATTGGATGATGAGGACACAAAATAGGATTTCGATAAATATATCGCATTGGTTCATCCAATTTCATAAACATCCATAGTTGTCAAATGCAATTTTGAAGCTTTTTTTATTTTTTTGGATTCTATATTTATATTTTATTTTTCATAGTGCATATTTTGAAATTGAAATGGAAATAATATCCATGTTTATCTAATTATTTAATGTTTATTAAATATATATATGTATATTCATTATTCTTATTTTATATTA